CTTCTCCAGCAAAGCATCTGGTAGATTCGAACCACTCACCTCTGGGATTGCAGTGCAGCTTCTCACCATTAGGCCACCAGAGCTCACCCTTGCTTCTTTATCTTAAATCAAGGTGAACCAGTAAGGTACATTAGTTATGGTGTCTCCCTGCAGAGAGAGTAGACAATGCCACATGCATGACATCAAGTATACAACAGCAAAGCAGACCACAGGCCTACAGACTGGCTTAGAGTGTGTGTCTGTACGAGTTACCTGACCAGCAACCATTTACCATGGTGATGTTAGAGGGTGCACCGACACGAACAGGTAGTCATTGTATTAGACTTTTCTTCTATTATATTCTGTGCATCATTGGATGCATGATTTGAACAGGCTACCATTTTATGCAACCCAGAAATGAATGGGACTCTATGTTCAGTATGTAAAAAGTGACCTTGAGGGGCCACAGTGGCCTGGGGAGGTCAGGTTTGTGATATTTCAAGTAGCATCCCCCCTGTTCTCACAATGTTCTATGTAGTGTCTCCTGAATTCTTCCCGCTCTGATTCTGATGTATTATCACATCTATCGCATCTGATATCTGCCTTAAACTTGAATCCACAATGAAGTAAAACAACAACAAACACTCAAAAATTAAAAAAAAAAAATCAAAACCATAACATAACAAACTTGAATCCAAGCAGAGCTTGATGTCATGTGTACGTAGTGTTATCCACCTTCTCTGCAGGGAGAAGCCATAACTAAAGTACTTTGCAGATTCATGTTGATTTAAGATAAGGAAGCAGCTCAAATCCTTATGGAGGACAGAGAATATAAATGGCCCAGCTAATAGAGCAAGGAGTATGGTAAACAGGAACTTCGAAGGTCCCTGTCCCATGAAATGGCCAGCCTGCAACCACACTTCCAGTCTTTTCTTCACTTTTGCAACTGGATTGTCAAAGCTTATAATTCTTCCAATACTGTTAGTAGAGGCATGGGGTCATTGTGTACTCACACGCCATCTTCGTGTACATATAACAGAACTGAACACCGCCGAGCCCAACATCACCCTCCCGGTAATAGATGTGTCTGTGTCACTGTTGGGACCACTGTCAACCTGCCTTGATGAATCCTTTTTTCCTTTGTTGCTGATCCTCTAACATACTGGACACCTAACTAATAGGCTGGTAGTTCCAGCTGATCTCAAGGGGGAAGGTGGGCAGGAGCCTCCTGTAAAGATTTCCAGCCTCCAAAACTTGAAAGAAGGCCGCAATGATCCGGAACTGTCTGGTGGGGGGTTTGGGTTCTGCAATGCTTAGCGTAATATCCAATCTGTTCTGAAAACATGACCAAACTCAGCTTTGATTCCATTTCTCAATTTTTAAAGTGTTATTGCCATGTGCTGCTGTGTTTGGTCTGGCTGATCCTCCAATAGGTGTTTGAAGTCAGAATGTGCCTCTTCTCACCCAGCTCTTGGATTTAGACCCGTGCCTTTTGCTTGGCGGTGAAACTCCTTACCACTAGGCCACCAGAGCGCTCTCTAGTGAATGAAGAGCTTGTAAATTTGCTCCCAAGAACCACATGGCCCCCCAGGGATGTTGGGTTGGCTCTGACTGTTAGGCTATAAAGTGTCTCATGAAAATCTGAATTGATTTCTAGTAATTACTCAGAAAGCTGGACAATAACTAGAGATGATAGAAAAAAATACCATGGACTGCTAGGAGAACAAACAGGCTTATCTTGGAGAGGGTGAAGCCAAGCTGCTCCTTGGAGGCTAGGATTTTGAAGCTCCATCTGACATACTTGTGCATGTTGTAAGAAGGGACCAGTCCTTGGAGAGGGTCATCATGCTTGGAAGAACAATGCAGGAGAGAAAGGCCCTGGATGAGATGGATTGACTCAGTGACCTTGATAACGGAGGTAGGTGTGTCAGAGACAATGAGATTGGCTCAAAATAGAGCAGATTTCATAGCTGTTGAACATAGGGTCACTGTGAGTTGTAAGCGACTCAATGGCACATAACAATTACTCAGCATCAAACATGGTGCAAATGATTTCACATTCCCAGATCTTTTCCCATCATTCATAAAAACACTTGAAATTTTTCTGTATGCTCACCTCATAGTATTCTGTATGTGTACGTTATGAAACACCCAGAATGCAGAAATATTTACCCGCTGTCCTTAGTGAAAGGAGCCTAGATCGTGTGGGGTTTAAAGCTCTCAGCTGCGCAAGTGCACCAGAGGATACAGGTAACACGTGGCATTCTCCTATAGCATTGCTGAAGCCCTGGCAACTAGCACTGTTGTGGGATTGTTAATAGAACGTTTGGTAGTTCAAGTGCACCAGGTGCCCATGGGAGGCAAAGACTGTGTCAGGGGAGCTGCTACACTTGAACCATTGTGATTCAAATCTAGCAGCTGACCTTTTCATGGCCCACTCTGCCACTATGGTGCACCACTGAGTTGGAAAAGACCCATAGCTGGTCCTCCAGTGGGCTTTCGGAGGCTTAATGCACACGGGAGAAGACTGCCCATCCTTCTCTCATGAAGCAGCTGGCGGATTTGAACCACATATCTTAGCGATTGCATTAGTCCACTCACTGCCCCTGGGACTTCTTTAAATGCTCTTATTTAAGAGATTGTTTATCCTGTCTGTTGTTGGGAGTGTAAACAGCAGGGCACGCACCAATCCAGCAATCGCTGCAGGTAGTTTAATGGCACTGATTACCTAGAGTCATGCAGCCTGCTCTCACTCTCCTTTCCCGAGTTCTTCCTTTTCCACTAACTGCACCTGGAGCTCCCTCCCTCCCTCCCTCTCTCCCACCCTCTTCTCTTTTTCTCTCTCCCTCCCTCCATTCTCCTTCCATCCCTCTACCTCTGTTCCTCTGTCTGCCTGTCTCTGTCTCTCTGCCTCTCGTAGAACACGCTCAGAAATCACAGACAGGCCAAGCCACCGCCTCCCCTCTGCGCAAACACTGGGCACGGTCCATTCCTAGAGCTCTTTCCTCTTCCTGTGAACACCTTTCCTTTCCAGATCCCTTTCCGGAGGTTGTTTACCATGTCTCTAAAGGCTTATTTGTGACTTGGGGCCCACCTCCAGCCTTCCTGCCACTCAAACATTTTCCTTTTGTTCAGGCTGGGTGCTGTCAAATACGGCACAGCTCCTAAGGAACCTCAGAACAGCAGACCTGAACCCTGTTCCATCCTGTGATATCCTCACCATCTCTGACCCACTCGAAACCACTGCAGCAGTCATTGTGTCCGTTTGGGGTCTTCCACTGACCCTCCACCTAGCATGATGTCCCTCTCTAGAGAAAAACCTCTCCTAGCGACATGCCCAAAGTAGGTGAGACGAAGCTTCACCCTCTTGGCCTCCAAGGTGCACTCTGATGACGCTGTTTGTTCTTTTGACGGTAAAAAAACAACAACAACACACAAACAAAAAACAAAACAAAACAAAAAGTCAGTACTTTCCCCAACAGCAAAACTCAAAGTCTGCTGTTAAAAAACAACACAGGATTGATGTGGTGGCGGGGAGAACAGGAAAAGAGCGGCCAGATAATGAATGAACACTGCACTGGAGTAGCTGAAGGAAAGGACTGTCTGATTAGGTATTGCAAGTGCATTATACTGCAATCCGGAACAAGACGTGCATCGCATGGTGAACTGTGGGAGAGGAGGAAGGGAAATGGGCATCAGGGAACAAATAAACAAACACCCAACCTTGCTGCTAACTTGCACTAAAATCGCAGTGGGGTTGTGTCCCGTCCAGTAGGAACCGACCCATAGCTGACCCTGAAGCGGGTTTTCAGAGCACGGGAGGAGACTGCCCATCCATCCCTCGTGGAGTCGCTGGTGGATTCGAATTGTTCGCCTTCAGGGGAGAAAAAAAAATCAGCGCTGATAGTGGACAAATATCAACGGTCAATGAAAGAATTTTTCTTTTACTTTTCAAAAAGAAGAGCGAACTGGAGGGGAAGGGTGGGCAGGGAGAAAAATGCAACAATGAATGAATGGAAATCCAAAGTCTCTATAAACGTTCATTAAAATTAATAAAATAAAAAAAGGAAAAAATGAGGATTATCTGAAGCTTTTGCTGAAGAGCAAAAAAAAAAAATTACACTACTATATGCACAAAATGAAAAATAAAAATTCTTAAACACCAAACAACCAAAAGTAAAACACAGTGTAGAGGATCGCTCATATAAACCTCATACGAATGTGCGAGAGTGCACGGGAATTAAACACAGTGTATACACACTTTTTAATGCTAACAAACAGAAAATGTTTTAAAAAGCTCATGGCCTGACTGAGACGCACATCAGTGTCAGGTGGGAGACACTTCTCCGCCGGTGCACTCCTGGCCGCCGCTCCCACGGCGCTGGGGTCTCGGCTCCCATCATTTCAGGGGGTGGGGCTCCCGCACTGAACGAGCTACAGGCCCCCGGGGAGGGAGGGG